ACATGTGAGCCCCCGAGCCCCCTGTGCCATGGCCGTGGCCCTGTGATGGGCAGGGGGTGACGGGGTCTCGCTGTGCCCCCCAGGAACCAGGCCGTGCTCTTCGGAGGGAACCCCCGCTATGAGAACGTGCCCCTCATCGGGAGGGGCTCTCCTCCCCCCACGGTACGATGGGGGGCCGGGGACAAAGCCTTGTGACACCCTGGGGGTCACTGTGGGTCTGCGGGGTGGGACAGGGATGGGGGGTCCTGGTGCTTCCTGCCCGGCTCTGACCCAAATCCCGGCCACCCATGGGGAGGGGCACGGCCACCACATGTTTGGGGACACCAAAATGAGCATCCCCTCCCTCCCCTCCCTGTGCTTCCTCTCCATCCTGGCTCTCAGAGGATGCTCCTCACAATCCCTTCACATTCCCATTTTCCTGCTCGTTAATCCTGCCCTGTCTGGTATTGCTGCTTCATTTTTTATTCCTTGTCTTTTTTTTTCTTTCCTTCTTTTTTCTTTTATTTTTCTTTTTTTTTTTTTTTTGTTTGTTTGTGATTTCTTTTAATTTTTTGCATCCATTATTTTGGAGCTAAGTTGCCCATCAAGAGTAAGTTCAGCCACTTCCTTCTCCCTCCTTAGCCCCGGGGCAGCAACCAGGTTCTACCCTCCTCCTCCTCACCCTTCCACACCCCCCTCCATCCCCTTTTCCTGCCTGGATTTTGGGGTGCAGAGAGCTCAGGGAGGGGGGACAAAAGGCCAAGAGGATTTTCAGCTCCCACGTGTTGGGATGCTGGTCCCTGTCTCCATCCCTCCCAGCCAGGATGTGGCCCCAGGAATGCTGCCTGGACAGGAATACTGCCCCTCCCCTCCAGGGAGGATTTTTCCCATCAGGTGGAAGTTTGGATCCCATCTCACAGACCTGGCAGCTGGCAGAGCCTCCTCCCAGGGGGGGCGGACACGAGTGGGGGGATTAATTGGAGCTCTTCTCCCAGCCCTGAACAGTTTAATTCACCCAGGATTCAGATCCCTGAGGAAAGACTTTCCAAGTCCAGAATAACAAACTCGGAATAATCTTCCTTAATGCCTGCCCGGGGTGATCCTCCCTGCTGGGAAATCCTGCAGGAATTGATGCTGGGGTGGGGCTGGAGGTTTCATCCCACAGACACAGCCCCAAGGCAGATTTGGGATGAAGGATGAACCTGGGAAGGGATAAAGCAGAACTGGACAGGCTGGAAGGGTTTTGGTTTGGAGAGGGGGCAGATTTGGGATGAATCTGGGAAGCTGGGAAAGTGGAGGATGAACCTGGGAAGGGACAAAGCAGAGCTGGATTTAGCTTGGGGAGGGGACTCTTGTCTCCCCCAGCCCTCAGCGGGCTGAGAGCAGGGTCTGACCCTTTCCATGCCCCCTGGCAGATTAATTCAGGATTAACCCCTACGAGAACACCCCTGGGGGCATTTTGGGGTGCTGACCCCCGTTTTGGGGTGCTGACCCCCGTGTTCCCCCCAGTACTCCCCGAGCATGAGGGCCACGTACCTGGCGGTCACCGATGAGCACATCCGGCACCGTGGCGACTTCCCGGCCTAGGAGGGGACACCAAAGAGCCCGAGGGACAGCACAGCACGGGGTAGGAGCCACGGCGGGGCTGGGGGACAAACCTGGAGCCCCCCAGCACCCCCTGCCCTCACAGCCCCACACCTGCTGCCTTAGGGGCTCCCGGGAGCGCAGAGGGGCTGCGGGGGCTCCTCCTGTCCCTGTGGAACTTTCTGGAGCACAAACCCCGCGCCATGCTGCCCTGGGGCTCCCCTAGCAATGCAGCACCAACCACTAGTGATCCCAAACCCTTCCCCAGCCCTTTCCAGCTGCCCTGGCTTTTCCCAGGATGAGGGATTTGGGATGTTTTGGCCCTGGCATTTCCCAGGATGAGGGATTTGGGATGTTTTGGCCCTCACATTTCCCAGGATAAGGGATTTGGGATGTTTTGGCCCTGCTGGTTTTCCCTCACTTTGCCCCCGGGGTTTGGGAGGTGCTGGCTCTGTTCAGAGAGGGGTCACTGCAGTGGGGTTTGGGGTGGGTTTAGGCTCTTTTTGGTCCCCCAAGGCGGGTGTGGGATGGGGCAGGCTCCCCTCCTCCTGCAGCCCTGGAGTGGTCACTAATCCCCTGGGAGAGGGACAGGAGCTGCTGGGGCATCCCTGGGGTGGGACAACATGGACCTGCCACCCTGGAGGCTCAGCCAGTATTTCCAGGGTGGGGAGCTGGGAGAGCTGAACCTGCCCCTTTGGGCTGCCCTTTGGCACAGGGACCCCAGAAAAGGCCCCTTCCCCCTGGTTCAGGGATGGACCCCCTGCCCCATCCGCCCAGACCCCAAAGGGTGCAGATGGGCTGTGGTGTGTGCCCACCCCAGTGCCAGGACATCCCTGACTCCCCACTCCATATTCCCCGTGACTAGCATCCCTCCCCTTGGGGAATATCCCGAGGGATTTTTTTATTTCTTTGGCTTTTAACGTTTCCATGTAACGGTACTGGTAGAAGAGCTGTTGTAACCGCATGTGAACTAACCGAAGGGCTCCGACTGGGGGCTGGAGTCCGGCTGGATTTGTTTGTGCCCTTTTGGGAGGAAAGATAATAAACACTTGGACTAAATTACTGTCTCCCGTGTGGGCTTTTTGGGGGGATAATCATTTTTTGGGTGGTTAATTCGGTGTTAGGGGCAGTTTTGAGTTGACCTTCCCAAGATGGCGGCGGTCGCGTGACGCCGCCGCTATTATGGTGAGGTCAGCGTCACGTGACGGTGTCACGTGATGGTGTTCAGGCTGTTGCCTGGCAACGGCAACGCGTCCCCGGTCAGGCCTCACCGGGAGCGGGCCGGGACCCGGCCGCATCGGGGTCCCGGGGCCTCCGCGGGGTCCGTGCTCACTCTGGGCACTTCCTCACTCCGTGCCTGTGGCTCAGCTCCACTCTGGGGCTCCCTGAGGCTCCCGCTGCACTTTGAGGCCCTCTCAGGGTCCTCCCTGCATGGGATCCCTGCTCCCGTTTGGGCTTTGCCGAGGTTCCTGTTCCCTTTGGGATCGTCTGGGACTCTCTGAGCTTCTTGTTCCCTTCTGGGACATTCCCACAGCCTGCACAGTCTTCTGGGGCTCTGGAGGGTCCCCTCTCCCTTTTGGGGTCCTCCATCAGAGACCCCATTTCCTTTTGGGGTTCCCCGTCTCTTTCAGCATCCTCCCTCTCCAGGCTCTCTGTTCACATTTGGGTCTCCTTGAGGCTCCTATTCCTTTTTTCCTTTCCTTCATCCCTGAAACCCTCTCTCCTTTTGGAGCTCCCCGAGATCCCGCTCTCCATCCCTGAGAACCCACTCCCTTTTGGGATCCTCTTAGAGCCTCCCACTCCCTTTTGGGATCCTCTCAGCGCCTCCCGCTCTCCTTTGGAACTCTCTCCTCCTCCCTGAGGCCTCTGTTTCCTTTTGGGCTTCCCCAAGGCCCTCCACCCCCATTGGAGCTCTCCATCCCTGAGGCCCCCCGTCCTTTTTGGGGTTCCCTTGGAGGGCCTGCCCTCTGTCCCTGGTCCCGCCATCCTTTCCATCCCGTCCCACCATGGAGATCAAGTACGAGTACTCGCGGAAGCGCAGCGAGTTCGGCCGCCCCTGCGTCTTCTCAGACCTCCCAGCCGAGGTCACCGTGAACATCCCACCCGACCCTGCCCTGGCCGAAGACTTCATCCCCCAGGACCCCGTGGACTTTGCGGTGCAGGAGGGTCCTGTCCTGGCCGGGCATGAGGTACAGGGACATCCCCTCACAGGGAAGAGGGGACATCTCGGGGGGAATGGATGGATGGATGGATGGATGGATGGATGGATGGATGGATGGATGGATGGATGGATGGAATCCATGGATGATGGATGGATGGATGATGGATGGAATCCATGGATGGATGGATGGAATCGATGGATGGATGGATGATGGATGGATGGAATCCATGGATGGATGGATGGATGATGATGGATGGAATCCATGGATGGATGGATGGATGATGATGGATGGATGGTGTGATGGGCAGATTTTGGGCTCAGGGCCTGTGTCCCCCCCGTGTCCCCATGTCCAGGTGAACACGGAGCGGTCACAGGTGACCATCCGGGGTGTGAACCACGTGGAGGGCGGCTGGCCCAAGCACGTGGACCCCAAGAACCAGGAGCTGACCACGCGCTACCGGGAGGAGGTGGAGAGGGAAGAGGTCTACACCAAGACTATCCAGCGCCTCGGCTTTGTAAGAGCCTGCCCTGCTCCCCCCCAGACCCCCAGAGCCCCCCAGAGCCACAGCCCTGCTGTCCCTGCAGGTGGTGGAGCACTACATCAGGCAGAACAACACCATCGACATCTACGAGGAATATTTTGAGGAGGAAGAGGAGGAAGATGAGGATGAGGAGCATCCCTCAGCCAAAATCATCTGTGTCATCAGGTAGCACAGCTGGGGGGAACTCACCAGAGCCTCAGTGGGGTCAAACCACCTTCACAAAAAATGGGAGAACATTAGGAGTTCAATTCCAGTGAGTTTGGGGTGGTTCTGGTGCAGTTTGTGAGCGGAGAGCCCCACAAACCTGAACCCTCCCTGCCCCACCACTCCCTCCCTGCCCAGGGGGCTTGGGGGAGGGAAGCGGGGTCAGACCCAGCTCTGAGCATCTCCTGATGGTGCTTTTTGATTTTCCTCCTTGTTCTTGGTGCCTCAAAGGTTAATTTCCACATCAGGGGTGTTTAGGAGTCAGATCCAGTAAGATAACTGGATTTTTAGAAAGGTATGACTGGAAAGAGGATGAAATCATCAACTCTTCTCCCCCCGCCCTACCCCTCAGGAGAATCATTTCCTGCACTCAAGGCTTGAGGGCTGCAGATTGGTTTCCTTGTGGTTCCCACAGTTCCCTGTGGGAGATGCTCATCCCAGGCATTTGCAAACTGACCCATTTTGGCCGGTGTGTCACCCCAAAGGGACCCCAACAACCCCAGGAGGATGTGCACGCACCTCTCCTGGCACCCCGACGGCAACAGGGCCGTGGCCGTGGCTTATTGCAGCCTGGACTTCCAGGAGAGCAGGAACCTGAACTCTGATTCCTACGTCTGGGATGTGGGTAAGGGCCAGGGCAAACCCACCAGGGGACAGGGGATGGAGCACTTTGTGCCTCAGAGAGCAGGATGGGACTGACAGCAAGGGCAAACCCACCAGGGGATGGTGGTCTTTGTGTCTCAGAGAAAAGGATGGGGCAGGCAGCACCCCAGGGAGGAGCCTCAGTGCAGAACCAGGAGAAATGGGAGCTGGGAATGGGAAATAAGCACTGAAATCACCCTCCATGGCTTCCCAGCCTGCCGGGCAGCAGAGCCTCACATGAGGGGCTGGTGTTGATGTGGTGCAGCTGGTATTGAAGGAAGAAAGAGGCAGCAGGAGCCTGGGGTGAGATTTGTGCAAGCCTGCCTCACACCTGGTGTATTTTGGAGTGAAAAGGGCAAAAAGAAGGGTGGGGATGCAGATTTGTGTATAGAGGGTCTGTCCCCAGGCCAGCTCCTGGTGACATGGGCACCTCCTCCTGCACACAGCTGTGTCAGGGAACGGGGTGGAGGCAGCAGGGTGGGCTGGGGGCTGATTTTGGGGGGCTGCCTTCACCCTTTACTTTTCACCCATCCCTCCTTGTAGAAAAACCCTACACCCCAGAGCTCACCCTCAAGCCCTCGTCCCCTGTGCTGACCCTGGAGTACAATTCCAAGGACTGGTATCACATGCTGGGAGGCTGCTACAACGGGCAGATAGGTGAGGGGTGAACTCTGCTCCAGGCTGGCTCCAGCCCTGCTGCTCTGCCAGGACCTGTGCTGCCTCTGGGAGAGCAGGAGGAGCCCTGGCATTTACCTGTGGGCAGGGGTGTGCCCACCTGAGCGGGCACCCAGGGAGGGGAGGACACCATGACAAGGATGGATGGATGGATGGATGGATGGATGGATGGATGGATGGATGGATGGATGGATGGATGGATGGATGGAGGGATGAAATCCATGGATGGATGGATGGATCCAGGGGATGAGCAGGACGGGTGCTGTGCTCCCACCTCTCCCACCACCCTGGATGATCTCTGGGGAGCACTGGGTGAGGTTTGCTCCCTGTTCCAGCTTGGACAGTGGGGGAATCATGACAAGGAAAGGAGCTGGGCACGGGTTTTTCTTTTCCTCCCCAGTGTATTGGGACACCAGGAAAGGGGGGCTGCCCATGGAGATGACCCCTGTGGAGTTCAGCCACAGGGACCCCGTGTATGGAGCGTACTGGCTGCCCTCCCGAACAGGCACCGAGTGCTTCTCCGGCTCCACTGACGGACAGGTGAGGGGCTGCAGCTGGGCAAGGGGCTCCTCAGGGCTCCTGAAGAGCTTCCTGTGCCTGCCCTGCCCCTCAGCAGCACAAGATCCCGCTCTCCCAGGCTGGCACGGGGCAGCTGCAGGACTGCCAGCACCTCTGACCGTGCTGGGAGCAGCCCCAGAGCCCCTGCCACGCCTTGTCCCCGCAGGTGCTGTGGTGGGACATCCGCAAAATGTCACAGCCCAGCGAGAGACTGGTCTTGGACATCAGCCGGCAAGATCAGCTGAAGGACGCTCTGGGTGCCAGCTCCCTGGACTTTGCACCCGTCCTGGTCAGTGTCCCTGTGCCCACCACCCACAGCCCGACCTGGGCACGAGGGGGAGCCCAGCCCAGGGGTTTCAGTCCCTAAACCCACCATGGTGGTGGGTCCAGGATTCTGGGATCCCCTGCTGCCCCCCACACCATGGGGTCTCCATCCTGCTGACAGCTGCACCCTCTGGCTCCCACCCCCAGCCCACCAAGTTCCTGGTGGGCACAGAGCAGGGCATCATCATCTCCTGCAATCGTGATGCCAAGACACCGCCTGAGAAAATCGCCAACATCTTCAGAAGCCACATCGGGGCTGTCTACAGGGTGACCAGGAACCCCTTCTTCCCCAAAGTCTTCCTGTCAGTCGGTGACTGGACTGCTCGGATCTGGACTGAGGAGCTCATGGATTCATCCTCAATTATGGAGACCAGGTAGGTGTCCTTTAGAGAAGTACTAGAGGGCCTTTAGTCGGCCAGAAATCATCCCCAGGGCAGGTGGCAGTGGGATCTGGTCAGCCCTGGGCTGCGCCCGAGGCAGGGCAGTGCCAGCGTGGCTGAGGGCTGGCTCTGCTGGAAGGTACCACAGCTCCTACCTGATGAACACGTGCTGGAGCCCCGTGAAGCCGGCCGTGTTCTTCACCGTCCGGTCGGACGGCGTCCTGGACATCTGGGACATCCTCTTCCACCAGAAGGAGCCTTCCCTCAGCGTCAAGGTGGGTCCCCAGCACCTCTGGGACCCTCACATCACCTCAGGGCCGAGTGTCACCCCCCACGTGTCCCCAGGTGTCCAACGATCCCCTGCTCAGCCTGTGCTCGCAGGAAAACGGGCGCATCGTCAGCTGTGCCACCAAGATGGGCAATGTCTCCCTCGTGGAGCTCTCCCCGGGGCTCTGCACCATCCGCAAGAACGAGAAGACCCTGACCTCCACGGTATGTGCCCCCTGAGCGTGCCCACCCTCTGCCTGCAGCCCTGTGCTGTGCCCAGCCGTGTCACAGGGTCCCCTGTGCCCCCACATGTGCCCCCACATGTGCCCCCAGATGTTCGAGCGGGAGGCCAGGCGGGAGAAGGTCCTGCAGGACAAGTACAAGGAGCGGCTGCTGCGGGAGCAGGACCGCCTGCGGGCCCAGCCCGAGCAGCAGGAGGATGCAGTGCAGATCTTCCAGCAGGCCCGAGAAGATTTCCTCACCAGCATCAAGGCAGAGCGGCGGAGGAGAGGCCTGGAAGCGCCCACAGAGGTAACGGGGATGGGACAGCCTGGCCACCACGGCAGGGACCCCAGCCAGGGCAGGGCACAGGGTGAACCTCAGGGTGAACCTCTGTCTGTCAGGGTGAAGAGGAGGAGGCAGCTGCAGAGGAGCAAAGCTAGCAGGAGGAGTAGGAGGATGCCAAGGTCAGTGTGCTCCAGCTGCGCCTTCCTGTCCCCTCCGTGCCAGAGCTGCTGCAGGGACAAAGCCACTGTCCCCAGGCCAGGCAGCTCTCCTGGGCTCTCTGCCCTCTCTGCCCTCCTGGGGTGGCAAGTGGGGGACCCTGCACAGCCCCCTGACCCCACAGCTGCTCCCTGGCCTTTGCATCCTTATTTCCTTTGGTGTGAATAAAGCTGTGCTTTCCACGTCTCATTTCCTCTTGTGTCACAGCAGGGTCGAGCAGAGGGTGGGAAAGTCTCGTCCTCCTGCTCCTCCTGTCCTTTCCTTGACCCAGGACACCCAAAGCCAGTGGCTGAGCACAGCCAAGCAGCCACGGCAGCACAGGGTGTCCTTCAGTGTCCCCAGGCCGTGCAGCAGGGCACAGCAGGGTGGCTGGTGGCAGCTGGGGGCCCCAGTCCCCTCTGGGCTCTGTGTGCCCACAGGAGCTGCCCCGGGCTGGGTTATCAGTGCTGGGTAAACACAGCCCTGCTGGTAGAGCTGGCAGCCACCCTGACTCCTCACCCCCCCTTAATTAATCATTAACGAGCTGCCAGCAGCACTGTCACAGCAATGGGGACATCACACGGGTGGCTCTCTGTGGGCTGAGGGGGAGCCCCCAGCAGGACCCTTCCCCAGGCTCTGCTCAGGGGCTGAACCCACCCGTGGGTGAGCAGTGCCAGGACAGGGTTCATGGGCCATCACCCCCCAAACCCACACCAAGCAGGGACCCACATCCCCACAGGGAACTGCATCCATGCCTGGATGGGTGCTCTCCTTCCCAGGAGTTCCATCAGGAGCTGGGCTGGGAAGCAGCATCACCCCAAAGATGCCCCACACATCCCACACTCATTTTCTGCTTTATTAGGAAAGGGGTGGGGGTACCTGGACAGGGATGGGGCAGCTGCCACCGCCAGTGGGGACAGTGCCCCCCACCCCTCCTCCACTGGGGGAGGCTGACGGGCCCCTCAACCCCAGACTGGGCAGCTCTGTTTGCTCCTGAGCTGGGCCCAACTGCACACACAGAGGGACCCCGGGGCTGCCTTACAGGAGGGATGGGCTGTCCCTGTCCCCATCCCCACACCCACTGGGGTCTGTGATGTGCCCGTGGGCTGCACATTTCACCTCCTGCACCCCCTACATGGGTCTGGGGCACTCCCAGCATCCTCCATCCCCAGGGACAGCGGTGGGGACGGGACATGGCAGGGGAACAGTCAGGGAGGGGTGGGCAGTGCAGAGCTCAGTCCTGGAGCCCCCCAGCGAGGGGACCCCCATCTACCTACAGGACCAAGCGTTGCCCCCACAGTGCTGGGGCCAGCACGGCAGCACCCAGCTGCTCCTCATTACTTCTTCACCTTGATGAGGGAGTGGTAGACGGGCTTGATGATGATGTGCAGGTGCAGGGAGTTGTCGATGAGGTACTCGGAGGTGCGTTTCTGCAGGTCGGCATGCACCAGGAAATCGGCGGCCTCATCCGAGCTCTGGTGGAAGCTGTAGGCGTGCTTGACCAGCACGC